ATGAGCTGGGTTAAGGTGACAGACATATCGCTTGTTTGTGGCCCCCGAAACAAAAATAATTCCCCCCCACCGTTTTCATTAGCGATTCTGCGTACCATGAAGATTCCCGCCCAAGACAAATATAAATTATTTAATTTATCTTAAAATAAACCGAATAACTTGTTGCCTATCGAAATAATAATATTAAAGTGACCAGAGCGTCGAACGAAGTCTTGCCGGACTCTGCAGAGAGAGGGCAATGAACACGGTACGTTTTGATAATTAAATGGGCAGTATAGTTACCAATGTAGACTTAGAACAGTCATGCACTGACCAGAACTGAAATACGGTTCGCTGTGTTCTGTGCATAAAATACCACAAGCTTTTCATTACAACCTAGCCAACTATTCGTCGGCCAAGGGGGGGCGATTTTAATTTGCAAAATAATGAAAACATGTTGCAGAATCAAAAACAATTTTTAGTTATAAAGTAGGTCTACCAATCGTTGGTTTCAGTTCTCTTTGTTATTCGAAAGGCTGGGGAACTCGAGGTCAACAAATCAGCCAGTTTGTTATGGCACTTTATTATTGCTGGGTCGTTCAAATAGTAACTGCTAATTATATTTCACGTAGTGGTTTGTGGGAAAGTGGCATATATCGCTACGTAGCCCATTGGTTTACTGATACCAAACCAATCCGTAAACTGACCCAGAAAATTCGGTTTTCGCTATTTTTAAAATAAGACCTAAAAATTCGCGCTGCAGCCATATTAACATCCACGGTGGTCTAGCGATTAGAACGCTGGCCTTGTAATCCTGGGGTCTCGGGTTCGATTCCCGGCGGTGCCCGAATTTATAACTTGTGTTGGGCAAGGCCGTGGTCTAGGCAACACGGAGTTTTCCTCCGGGGGCTTCCCCGGTTTCTCCGTGGCATCCCAACAATTACTCCATTCACACACAGAAGAAGGCAATGGCAAACCACTTCTGGATCATCTGCCAAGAACGTATATGAACAGGTCCCAGTCCGAGAAAAGGATGGAAGGATCCTGTTCATATGGACCTGTCGTCAGACAGAACACTAAATAATAATAATAATCTTTGAAGATAATACTCTAAAAGACCCGTGTTACGGTACATTAATTGCACTCATTGCCCAGCAGCCAGGCAGAGGGCGCTTTATCAAAAGTCTTTTCCATTACAAAGATCAGTTCGTTAATGATATTTAAGGAAAAAATCCATGTTTGCTTTGAGAATCATACGAACCCATAAATACAAAATGCAGCGTTACTGACTGTTAAAGCAGGTGGTATATGTGGTTACCACTGAACATGAAAAATGAATAAGTCAGTTCAGTATTATTCAGTGAATAAGCTACTGGCTGGAGTTCGATTCCCTTTAGGACTGGATTTTATCTTCGCTACGAAGTCCAGGTCGGCTCTGTGGCTCACCAAGCTTCATGTCCAGTGAGTGCTGAGTACTGAGTGTCTGTCTTCGGGGGTAAAACGGCATTTCTAATACCAAGATTAAGAACGCGTGGAGCTATATATAATCGCTCTCCCATACGTTTTCTTGGCGGTGTTTAGTTTAAGAACCAGGGACAGCTTTATTTTTACATTACAATGAATCTTTAGATAGTCAGTAGGATTCTTGGATGGAGGATTGACTAATTTGCAAAGAATCTACTTACACAGAACAATTAGAACTTACGTTTATGTACAAATGAGGGCTTGGATCGTGGTGAGCTGAGGTCAAATCGAGGTCAACGAGTTAAATAACGGAATTAGTAATCGCGCTAACAAGCACGAAGACTAAGTCTGAACCGGCTTCGACGCAAACTGAAATAAACCATCAAACCGCAATACAAAGATGGCTGTATTCTGGGCTGTAGCCCTGATGATGGAGGCAGCAAGGACCTCTGAAACTCTGACAAACTTCTACGATACTACACGGCGCTACAACCCAGAAGATTGCCATCTTCGGACTCACCGTCGCGAAAACCTCAAATCCGAACCAAAGTACGCGTAGAACGTGCCGTATTCGCAAAATGGCGGCAAAGGAAATGCAGCCTATTTGTGAATTGTTGCAACATAAAGCTAATTATGTAAGTTATTTATGGGGCACTGCAGCGCCACACGGAATGTAACGTCCACACTAATTGAGTCAAAACTGAGCATCCACAAAATGTGTGGGATTCAGAAGATTGAGCTATGGGCTGGCACCGAAAACTTTAAATTTTGCTGATTGACTGCTCGAACTAGAACTGCAATTTGTTATAAATTCGGGGCTCTGATCCGAGGCAGCGTCCCGTGCCGCCATGACACTCATTGTAAAGACGTTCTATGAACATATGCAATTTACATAGAAATATATAGAACTTAGGCTTATGGCTTAATTATTTCCGTGTCATTGGTGATGACGAGAACATCCTCATATGCGAGGTGTCGGGTTCACTCGATATTTGTTTCTGGATTGGCCGACGTTTCAGAGACGCTTACTGCCTCGACCATCAGGGCGATCAGCTAGAGAAGATACCTGCTAGCTTCTTTGGAACCCCAGAGTTCATCACCGTGTTCACAAGAGCCCACAACCGGCCCGTGTCTTGATATGCATTCCACTCTGCACCTATGTTTAAATATTTGGTGTGATCTCTTTCCTCTAGACTATCCAACGAAACTTTTTACGCATTTCTTATTTCCCCCATGCTACACGCCTTGATTGATAGAACTGTTAGGTCTAAATTTCGCTCCAAAATTGAGGTCGTAGAAAATGTGTCTTGCCCGCAACTGACTTATCTGCCAGTTCATCTTCTCTTGTTAAGAAGCTCCTTTAAAATGACTTAAATGACGTTCCTGCCAGTCGATATTCCCCCCCTGTTGGAAAGACATTTATAGCGGATGCAATGTTTGCAATTGATAATTTGGCGCGGCTTCATTATCTTGTCAACTTAAGTCGATAATAGCTTTAAATTAGTATGAATTTGCCACATCTAACACGACGGTCCCTAGACTCACAGAGACCTGACTGACGTGGTATTGTATTTTGGAGAGATTCAGGTTCTCACGGCGACTAGTGTAAAGATGACTCTGATATTACGACTTGTAGTCTGGTAGAAATTTATTGATGATTCCGAGGTCCTTGCTGTCGCCATCAGATGTGCTTGCTACCTCCATCATCAGGGTAATCATTGCCCTGATGATGGCGGCAGCAAGCACCTCTGAAACGTCGGTAAAATTCTACCAGGCTATACGGCGCAACAACCCAGAAGACAGCCATCTTAACACGGTATAAAAGATTAAATTTGTACAGTGCACGGGCAGGATATATTTAACAACGGTGAACAAGCCTTCGGTTCTGTACCACTGACGCAGTCTGGGTAATAAATAGCCTGCTATCACACTGTGGGTTTGTGGACAACGGAATTTAGTGGGCAATTCCCCTGCGTGCGTTAAATGGGAAGTGTTACTTAACAGAAAACATTAATTCAGTTTCATGAAAACAGACTAAATATGTCTATGATGTGCCAGTGGAACGATGGATTTTGAATTTTATGACAGATTATGATCGTAAGTCCTACATAGACTACCTACAAAGTTCTGGAAACAAAAAACGAATTTTGTAAAGTTCTTCTACGTCACGTTTATTGGTTAAAGGAACTATAGAAATTGATTTAGGCCAGAACAATTTACACAGCAATTTATGGCTGAAGTGATAGACTGCTTTGCCGAATTACAAGTTATAAAATTAAATAAGTTACAGGCCTATTCTTATATTATGTTACAGGCTTAATATAGGATAATTTAGAAGCTAGACATACTTAGCATAGCAGTCGTGTTGCTATTTTATATTTTACACACAAAATATTTAGCGAAGGTTATAGGCTTTATTTAAACTGGGTAGGTCTACGCACTGAACACTTCATTTCGTTTTTATTATTCAGTGTCTGGTCTTATGCGTGCGTGTTTTCGCTTAATAAAGTCCTTCTTAGTATTGCCCTTTCGACCTCATAATAGGTCCGTTGTTTTCAATATGTTATCGGCTTAATCAGTTGAACAAAATCCCTTGGCTCGGTAACCTATAATCTGTTGAAGATATCCGTCTTCTGGGTTATTGCGCTGTGTAGTCTGGTCGATGTTAACCAACGTTTCAGAGGTCATACTGCCTCCGTCATCAGGGCGATGACTCGCCCTGATGACGGAGGCAGTATGACCTCTGAAATGTTGGTAAATATCTACCAGACTACATAGCGCAACAACCCAGAAGACAGAAATCTTCATACTAAGAATCGTCCTGATGACGGAGGCAGTATGACCTCTGAAACGTTGGTAAACATCGACCAGACTACACAACGCAACAACCCAGAAGACAGAAATCTTCATACTCATCGCCCTGATGGCGGAGGCAGTATGACCTCTGAAACGTTGGTTAACATCGACCAGACTACACAGCGCAATAACCCAGAAGACAGAAATCTTCATACTCACCGCTGTGAGAACCTCAAGTCTTACACTATAATCTGTTGTCTGTACGAGTTAATTTGGCAGGGATGTTTAGACATTTTAGTAACAAATCCTGAGGTAGCAAGTATATACACAGGTCAACTAGGCCCAAATTTTGTTCTTTATTTAAAAAATGTTTGTTCTTTGTCTGTATTTTGCACTTGGCCAATTTTTCTGTCTGACTGTGTCGTCAAACTTCAGGTCTTACTGCTGGATAAGATTTCAGGTTTTCACGGGGACATGAAGATGGCTGGCTGTCTTGTGGGATGTAAGAAATTAATCGCCCTGATGATGGATGCAGTAGGCAGACTGCACGGCGTAACATCCGAAAAGACAGACATACGTTTCTCTTCTTGGTTGTGACTCCGTGTACACTCTTAGGTTCTTACGTACGCAACCCAGAAGAGCATCATTATCCACACCGCCGTGATAACCTCAAATCTCAAACTATTGACGGATTTTAATAATGGCGACAGTGCGAAATCCAAGCCCACAGACCCAAGGATTGATTTATCTTACAAACTGACCTTGACTCGGTCTTCTGACGCCATACGAGGCCTGCAGCGGATGACGGAGCACTGCCTCGACTGTGGCTACTTCAGGGTGCTTCGCCCCGGTACTGAGGTCGGTTGCCATGCACTTTCCTGCAGCACAGTCCAACTTGTTAGCGTCCCTCAACCCCAGGATTGCGTCTATCGTGAACGATTTGCCCATGGTCGGTGGACTGGGGCTTCCTCCTCCGCTGCTACTGCTGCTGCTTCTGGAAGTGACGGCTTGTTGTCGGAGTGCCGAGTACATGAACAGTGGTGAAGGCGATGCCGGCGCACTTGCTATGGCTGGACCCCGAACCGGCAGCGGGTACTGCTGATGCCGGAAATCCAGGAAGTGCGAGAACGAAGAATATCCCAGTAGTGGGTTTTGCATCATAATGCTGTCTGTGTGCAAGAATGCAGATATCCTGACTTCTGTTAGTTTTTCCAGCTACAAGACGCACAGGTGTTATCACTAACCTCGCCCTCGCTGTATGTAATAAATATCAAATACAGCTTTTAAGGAATGTTCAGTTCGGAAATATAACGTAAAATTTGTAATTCACTTATTCGAAGATTAGCTATAAAATGTGTAGCTTTATTTATTCGAAACATTTACTGATTTCGCTGTACCTTAATTTTATTTGAACTCTTGTCTCTTAAGTGTTCTTCACAGTTTCTATACAACTACTAGAGATTTCGACATTTTTAAAGTTGCTACATATTTTTTCATCAAGCTTCATTTCCTTCGTACAATTCACAATTACATGTTTCCAAATGACAACAGACCTCACTGTTATAACCTACGGATGCAACTGTTCATTTATGTTATTTCCGGGCATTAAAAAAACGAGCGATTTCTCACAATACCGCGATTTTTTTTTCCCTGTAACGATTTGTAGCATTCGTTAAGCGACTTTTAAATATTGTCGTTCTCGAACGATAAAATAACGAAATTTTAAACGGCACTCATACAGCAGAGATTGCACGGACGTGGTTCTCTTGCTACACGCAATACGTTACAAACACACGAAAATCTGTCTCCAGTTTTTACAATATGCCTGTCAGTATTGACGATGGTACGCACTCCGCAGAAAACTTACAACACGTTCACCAAGTCACTGCCAGATTCTTGCGTGCTTTGTGCTAGGAAGATGGACACTCGACTGGCCGGCAGATTCCCTGGTTAAACTTGGAAGCTCACCATCACTTCACCCTGTTTACACATCTGATTGGTGCATTCGTATCTACAGCAGCCGTTAACATACCCGCCATTTAAAAATTGTACTCAAAACACCCCTTATGGTTTCGTGCTGTTTTCCCCTCTCTCTGAGTACAATCTTAATTAGGAGCTGAGCTAGTCTTGGAAGGGGTAGGAGAAAAGGTGTTTCCCCGTGTTGAGGGTGGGGGCGGGTTGGTTCTCTATACAAATTACACAGCTCCCTGTTCGACCCGATGTTCAACTTGATTAAGTCTAACTACACAATCAGAATTCAAGTTTTGTGTGCCCCCAACTCCCCCGCTCCCAAGTTCGTCCTTTTCCGTAGTTCTTCTTCTTCTTCTTACCCCTACAAACCCATTGCAATCAGCCATCTTCCCCTCTTTCAGACTGGAAATGATCATAAACAATCACACACTCAGTTCCCAGAAGCACCAACAGACGGCAGTTGCGATCAATTGAATCACGCCATTGGCCAGGTTTGCGCGAGGTTCTCAGTTTCTGTTGGTCCGCTCAACGGGATCGAAGGCGGAGTTGCTGTTTGAAATGAGGTCTTGTGGGCGGGGTCATGTGTGCGTGGAGGGGAGGGCCGGCATGTTTTATGTACTGTGTGCGAGAGTCGATGAGAATGGAGGGTAGTTTGAGGAAGTGCTTGCCGGAGGGGAAAAGGGGTCACGCCTCCCACCAAACGTGGGTCATCCCTCATTTCTTTTTTTTTGTATTCTCCCGTACCTTTCTGAGAACACATTAAACGCGGTTGCAGTGATGATGGCTAAACTTGCTTGCTCTTTTTGAAGCCACAGCGGTGGACCGCAGAAATTCTTGCGATGAGGCTGTGTGGTTTGCAATCTTGCCAGTAATGAATCATTAAGAAGCCTGTATCTACTTGTTTGTGTATGAAACAGCTCTCAGCACTGTTGAAATCCAGTGGACGGCCGTTTTCAATGGACCAGCAGACACAAACTGATTCAATCGGACATCACACCGGAATTTAGTGTGTGTGCGTCTACCCCGAATGAATAATCCGTGGCGTAAAAGCCCTCTGAGAGCCAAACCCGAATAAATGCAGGCAAATTATCCTTTTTCTAAGATGATAGAGTTGCGTCATATTGTGAAAATATATATTTAATTAATTAATCTTGTCCGTCTAATCACAATTTAAAATTTAATTAAGATAAGTAAAATACCATGGAAGTGAACAAAACTAATAACTGATAAACAACTACAAAAAAGTTGCATATAAGAAATTATGATTAAGTTTTAAGTTTATATAATTGTAATTTTACACACCTGAAGATGGTTCATCTTTGTTCACCAACCTAAAAGTTTATTTGAACACGACGCACATATATAGAACAACTTTAAATATATTAAAATGGAATCTGGAAGTGAACATCACTAATAACTGTTAAACAACTACAAAAAAGTTGCATATAAGAAATTATGATTAAGTTTTAAGTTTATATAATTGTAATTTTACACACCTGAAGATGGTTCATCTAAGAACCGAAACATGTAGTGAGAAAGTGATGTTCCAAATGTAAATCGAATGTTTCGATAAGGAGCATCACATGGTATTTTAACTATCTTAATTTTAAATTTTAAATTGTGATTAGACGGATAAGATTAATTAATTAAATAAGGAGGGAAAAGATTTGTAAACTGCGTGCGTCTGGAAGTCGCTCTGAAGAAGTAACTTTTCTGTACTGTTTTCTAACATATCAGCAGTGTAAATTTCATACAAAGCTGACGTTCAGTTCGGTAGGCTTAGAGCCTGCGAAATTTTAATAATATACATAACACCTTATCCTTTTCTAAATGGAAAAATCTTATGACAAAGGACACGATTCTAGATTTATGTTAGATCTGATGACAGATGACAAACCAAGCATGTGAAATTTCATTTCAAGAGATTAAAAACAGGCTCTCTACATGCTTATATTTGTCTAGTGCTTAGAACTTAGAAAATAAGAACGCTAAGACCTTGTGTAGATCCTTTAACGTACCTGTTTAATCTATTAACTACTAGTAAATTGCCAGTTTGTTTGGCGGGAAGTTCTTAGTAATCAATCCCTTAAAGCCCAGTGGCGCAGATCTGTCCCACCTGCCTGACAATCTGTAAGTCTGCATTCCTTCCTGTTTCGTACTATTTTCATCTTTAACAGTCATTATGTTCTCAGTTAGCATTAACAAACTGATTTTCGTAATGGTGAATGTTGTGTTTTCTTAGCGGTACGAACTGACATAATAGCAGAGTGCCCGTAGTACAACTGAGGGAAGCGATGAATCGCCCTGATGATGGAGGCAGTATGACCTCTGAAACGTTGGGAAACATCGACCAGACTACACAGCGCAACAACCCAGAAGACAGAAATCTTCATACTCATCGCCCTGATGATGGAGGCAGTATGACCTCTGAAACGTTGGGAAACATCGACCAGACTACACAGCGCAACAACCCAGAAGACAGAAATCTTCATACTCATCGCCCTGATGATGGAGGCAGTATGACCTCTGAAACGTTGGGAAACATCGACCAGACTACACAGCGCAACAACCCAGAAGACAGAAATCTTCATACTCATCGCCCTGATGATGGAGGCAGTATGACCTCTGAAACGTTGGGAAACATCGACCAGACTACACAGCGCAACAACCCAGAAGACAGAAATCTTCATACTCACCGCTGTGAAAACCTCAAATCATACACAGTTCAGATTATGTTTGATAGCTTTTCTGCGGATTTGAAGTCTTGCAACGCATAACTCATTTCAAAATTGGTTACTCCAGTTGTATTGTTAACTTAATCAGTAGAATTTTTAAAAAGTTGCTACTGCTGTTAGCCCTGACTGTGTCCCTCGTCGCGGGTGTTCAAACCGACCACAGAAATTTATTGCAGGGAAAAGGTAACCTGTCACATTTGAGCTTTTACAGCCGCTAAATGGCATAAACTACCGCCACAAAATAGACTTAAGTAGACCCTTGAAGTACTCTGTCCCAAGAGGGTAGCTAAATGACTTCGACTTCTAACCCTGAAACTGAATATTCCTGGTCGTTAAGCTTCTGTGGGAAATTCTGCTACTGGAATTTTCTGTACGTCCTGAATTTCGAAAGACTTTTACGATTTCCTGTCCCTCATTGGTTTACCTTCGAAGTAGGCCTGTTTCAGGTAGAAATCCATTGTTTCACAGAGAGATGCTTTATCTCCATTGCTATTCAAGTTTGCTTTAGAATTTGTCCTTACAGGAGTTGCGAGAAGCCACGAGGGATAGGAAATGAATGGGAGAGAGACATCAGCTTCTTCTGCTTTATAATTTAATCTATTTGTTCCTCGAAAACATAAATGACCCACCATGATGATAAACACAGAAGCTCTATTTAAAGATCGTACGTAAATCAGTGTAAAAGTGGAAAATAAACTCATCCTGTCTTCATAGTAGACACCTCAGACAGACTATAGAATTTAGTCTTGGCCCCAAATGGGCTTAACACAGAACATACGAAGCTTAAATTTGGCCACTGTCAATTTTAAGACAGATCAAGTCACTAAGCTGCCATTATAGCTTTGGGTAGCTCAGTTCAAGGATGAAAAGGTTGTTCTTCTGGGTTTTGACGTCATGCAGATTCGCAGGAAAACACCAACGTTTCGGAGAAGCATACTGTCTCAATCTTCAGAGTGAATTCTTGCCCTGAGCAGACTGGTCCAGGGACTGGGATTAGCTTCTTCTATCGGAACTATCAGAATGGGCCAAGGTACTTTGCCTGGAGACGGAAGAGTATTTGTGTCGTAATCATGTGTTGCTGGTTAAGAAATAAGTTTGATTATTCTTATGTGCTAAGACTTGAAAATATCTGCATATAATTCGGGGTTTTCACTGCTTTAGGCCACCCTTTCTTCCTACTCTAATCTGTAAGTGCGAATTAGTGAGGCTTTAAGCCTGCTGTAGGCCCTGAAAAATGACACTACAAACGTTTGACATGACCTGCCCAGAAAACCGTAATTAGACACCAGGCTACAAAAAACTCCATCCAGAAATGTTTGAGAACGAAAATTGTTTGTTAGATTAGGTCTGCATTTATCTTTCGAATAGGCCTGTAGCCCAAGCTCACTGGCGATAATGTTGTTCAAATAAAGTCCACTTAAGTTTTTAGAAGCTTAATACGAGGTGCGATCGGAAAGTTTTCAGACTGCGCGTATAAAAACCCGTACACTTATCTCAGGTATTAAATTCATCCATCACCCTCGAAGTAGTTCCCCTGGGAGTGAACACAACGATCCCA